CTTGTTCCAGTCACATACAACCCGTTCCTAACATCCCTGTATCAAAAAATAGCTAAAAAACAAGGATTACGCTTATCATACAGAAGATGCCCATCTATGTTTAAGCTTCTACGCAATGAAAAAGATAAACCTAACAAGTATAAGCTACCAGGGGTATACGCTGTCCCCCTCACGGACCATAGATTTCAGAGGGAACTGGTCTACATTGGCGCTATTAAACGTGCTATTGGTGTTCGGTGGACTGAACACTGACGGGACATCCTCCACAAAAGGGGTTCTACGTCGTTATCCCTGTATGCGTCAGACTCGGAGATTTCGGCAAACTTCGACAATGCCAAATTCCTCATTACTACACTATTTACGAACCACCTTAAGTGGTTGAACCAAATGGAAATTTGCAAAGCATACAACACTTCAGCACCTATTAACTCGAGGGATGAAATTACCCTGTCCCTAGCATGGCAGGCCCTTCTCCAGAAGGAGGATTCACATGAATAAATACGTATAGTAAATAGGGTATTAAAACATCGTACCCGCTGATATGCTCGTTTATTTTTTATTTATTTTTTCGTTAATGTAAAAATCCATAAAAACCTTTTTAAGAAAACCGATCATTACATTATGAATTTGTTTACGGAATACTGGAATGCACGTGATTCACATAAATTTTTTGAATTTTGACTTTTGAAATGTGGTTCTGAAGAAGTAGTTTTTCGAATGTCGCAGTTTAGAAGTTCGTTCTACTGGTCTTCGTTCTAACGAATTTTAAAGAAGAATTGTTGCTTGAGAAAGGACCCAGCGAGGGATCCAAAAACGTTTGCATGTAATATTACTCTTATTTAATACCGGTTAAAGGTTTGATGAGGGATTATTTTTGTATTTTATATTAATCCGGTATTTGAAGATTCTTTATTTATGTATAATATGATGTTATCTATTGAGAGTTGCATCAACCATTTCAAATTTAATTTGTATGTTGAAACATTTTCTGATTTTGAATGTTTTGATTCCTGACAATAAAATTTTCAGCCTATTCTTAGGCCAAAAATGTTACAGTTTTTGAGTTATATTACTGTTACTATTGTAGAATTTTATGTTTTAGAATGCACTATAGCCACTCCTCACTTAACAATTTACCTGTTTAGCTCCTGCTCAAACTTATGACTAACAGTCAAGTCCAGAAATTCCCCTTTCTCAGTCTGAATCTCAGGAATCCTTTTTTGTAGATTCAGACTTGTTCTTGCAGTCAGTCAGTGTTTACTACACGAAGCATTC